ACCTGGCAGCAGCAGGGGACACAACTCTGTGCCAGGGGGCACCCTGCCATGGTGGCAAGGTCAGTGTGGGGCTCCCAGTGCTGGCACTAATCCCCCCCGAGTCTTCTCTTCTGCAGACTAAATAAGCCCACAGTTCCCTCAGGAGTCATGTGCTCCAGTCCCCTAACCATTTTCACTGCCCTACGTTGGAGTCTCTCCAATTTGTCCACATGCTTTCTGTAGTGGAGGGCCCAAAACTGGACACAGTACACCAGATGTGGCCTTACCAGTACACAAAAGAGGGAAATAATCACTTCCCTTGATCTGCTGTCAACACACCTACCAGTGCAGCCCAGTATGCCATTAGCCTTCTTGGTAACAAGCGCACTCTTGGCTCATATTCACCTTATTGTCCACTATAACTCCCAGACCCTGTTCTGCAGAACTGCTGGAGCATTGGGTCCAGTCAATCAGCCCCCAGCCTGTATTGGTGCATGGGATTGTTTTGTCCTAAGTGCAGGACCTTGCACTTGTCCTTATTGAACCTCATGAGATTTCTTTTGGTCTAATGCTCCAATTTGTCTAGGTCTCTCTGAATCCTAACCCTACCCTCCAGCTTATCTACTACTTCCCCTCAGCTTGGTGTCTTCTGCAAACCTGCTAGTGGTGCACTTCATCCAGTCTTCTAGGTCACTGATGAAGATACTGAAAAAAACCCAGCCCCAGGACCAACTCCTGGGGCACTCCACTTGATACTAGCTGCCAATTAGACACTGAACCACTGATTATTATTCTATGAACCCAATGCTCCAGCCAGTTTTCTATTCATCTTAGTCCATTCATCCAGCCCCTACACTTCCTTAGCTTGCTTGCAACAATGTTATGGGAAACTGTATCAAAAGCCTTGCTAAAGTCAAGATATCCACCAGTCTCCCCGCATCTAGTCATCTCATCACAGGAGGCTATCAGGCTGGTCAGGCATGACTTGCCCTTGGTGAATCCATGCCAACTGTTCCTAATCACGTTTTTCTCCTTCAAGTGCTTAGAAATGGTTTCCTTGAGCACATTTCCAGTGACTGAGGTGAGGCTGACTGGAATGTAGTTCCCTGGATCCTCCTTTTTCCTCCTTTCTTAAATACAGGCACTATATTTGCCCTTTTCCAATCATCCAGGGCCTCTCCCAATGGCCATGAGTTTTCAAAGATGATGGCCAGTGGCTCTGCAGTTACATCAGCCAACTTCCTCAATACTCTTGGGTACATCCCTCATCCAGTCCCATGGACTGTATGCATCCAGCTTTTCTAAGCAGTCCCTGACTTGTTCTTTTGCCACAGTTGGCTGCTAACCTTCTCTCAAAACTCTGCTGCCAGGTGCGATGCCACATTATTTCTGTTGTGCTGCTTTTGAGTTTTCCCAGAGCAAGAAAAAAATTGAAAGATCTTTGATTACATGAAGAGATCTCTTCACTCATAGGTTACTCAGAATATCTGAATATGATTTTTATCTTAACTGCCACAATATTCACTTTGTGACTGATAATTAAAGCTAAAAAATTCTGTCCAAAGAATTTTTCTAAAAACTGTAAACATCAGAAAAAAGGAGGCTTATAATGAAAAATGTCCTCTTGATTATAACTAGTGCTGCTACCACCATGGTACAGTGAATATTAACTTTTTTTGAACTAGTATAAAATATTGAAGAATGTAGCAGCTTACATCATGTTAATACTTAGCTATTGCTTAATATTGTTATTACTGGTATTGGTTCAGGTTTAAATATTTAAGTACACAAAGAATATTTTCCTCTGTTCCAGCATTTTCAGTTGCATTTTGAAAATGTAATAGCTCATTTAGACTGTTTAACTTTGCAAGTAATCAACATTCCTGTCTTAATTATTTTAACTATTTTAGAATATACATGCTGGCTCATATCTTCTGAAGAAAGAATTTAACGTGCTGTTAGTATGTAGAACGCAGAATCCAAATAATTTGGTACTACTAGCTATCTATTTCTGTAGAGGAAAAAGGACTGCATCTTCTCCAAAAGCAAAGGTCAGTTAACACCTCTAAACACGCACAATAATCAGTGTCTGGAATTTTAATTGTCCAAATGGCAATTTATTTAAAATCTTTGTTACATTTAGCTTTATAAAACTGGACAAAAAGTAATTAGTTCAAGAGTTCTCTCAGAATGCTCAAAACTAATTTATAGAAATAATTAAAAGGTAATATTAAAAGTGATTTGTATTACAGCAACAATCAATATTTCACTTCACATTCTGAATCCTTTATGCTAATATTTTAATTATTTCCAGAGAATCCAAAAATTAATCCCTACATCATACTCCAATTACTACACATCATCTTTCAAGATACTCTCACTCCCATTATTCACCTAAACATGAATCTACAAATACCACTTCCATGTGCATTCTTCCATGTGACAGTTGAGTAGGTTTATATCATCACTATAGCCTGGCAAAATGGCATCCATATTCTATGATCCTCTGTGGCAGCAGAATGCCTTTTCTCTGCCAGCTGGAATAAAACCAGCTCTGCAAGTGACAGTAGGTTTCTGCTGCTACCCTGCAGCTGACAGAAGGCACTTGGAGATGTGCCCATGGTTTCTGCTGACTGTCACGGCCCCTTCAACAGCTGGTGTCTCCCAGAGTGCATTACATGCCCTGCTGGCACAGCCACTACAGTGAAGTCATGCAGTTCCGGCAAAAGGCATGCGGCTTTGTATGCAATGTGGTGGATTCCCTGTGGCGGCTGCTCAGTGAAGGCAGAAGCTTTGAAACCACAGACAAGCCCAAGGAAGAGCATTCTCAATTTGTTTCCTTTTTTCCCCCCAAAGCAGAAATAATGTATTTTTCAAAGTCTTCAGATCTATGAATTGCTGATACACAAAATTACATCTCTGACAGAACAATGATGTGCACTGCCTTGCTGTGTTAAAGACTGTACTCTCTGTTGCCTTAAATGCCTTTTAAAAAATTAAGTGGAAAAAAGTAAGAATAAATTGTTCCAAACAGGAAATCTATTATGGAAAGTTATTAATGAAACAAATACAAGTTAAAGTTGAAAAGGCTGGTGTATATTGGATGTCAGAAGCTAAGGATACTAAGCAGAGATTTTCCTGGGTTCCTACAGATATCACAAAATTGTCTCAGCAACAGACCAGAGTGTTAAGATAACAGGAAAAGGTCTTACATAAAGCCAGCGAATAACCTTTTTGAGAAGGCATTTCAATTGTAACCTTGGGACTATTAAATAATGAACTATTCCTTTAAAACGAACTATACAGCTAAAGAGTATAAGGGAAAATGATTAAAATAACTTTTTTTTTTATTTCACTTCTAAATTTGTTTTGAATATGGCTGACAGAAAACAACTTAGAGCAGAAGTATTCACTTTACATTAAATATGAATTACAGATTAAAATCAATGTCTACCAATTGTCTACCAATATCTTAACACTTTCAAGCCCAACTTTCAGCAGAACATGAGCTGCTGTACATGGAAGGGTTATACCTGGGCTTGGCAGCATTTCATTTTTATTTATAACTTCAACTGATAATATGGATGCTTATTTTCAAGTATTTATTTAGATTTTTTCAGTTTAAATTTTCAGAATTCTGTGAAATTAGGAGCATGGGGGCAGACAATTTATTAAATGACAGTATACTATTATTATAGTTCAGGTTAACCGCCCACTGATAAGCATAACTACTGTAGGACTGCCACCAGCTGAGCTGCCATCCGTCATGGCTCTGCTGGCCTGTAGTTCCCCCATTCACTTTGTCACTTCCTCTTCCTTTGTTCCCAGTCCCCTGGGATTTCAAGGAGCTGCAGTCCAAGCTACAGTCACAGTCTGGTTCTGTAAGACTGCTCCCTGTGTCATCACATACTCCATCAGCCATCATTTTCTTACAACCCCTTTCTATAAATTTTGATTAACAATGGAAATATTTTTTCATCAGCCTGCTAGTGTGAAGCAAAATCAATGTTTACCAACAGAAATAAAATCCCACTAAACCAGATTATAACACTGAAGGAAAACGCCTCCTCTAGCAGGAAGGAGAGGAAAATAGCAAGCACAGTCATATCTGAGAAACAGAGTACTGTGCAGCAGAGGGCAGAGCATGGCCGTACCTGGGTATCACCTTTGGAAAGCTGATAGAACTGTCAACACCAGCTACTCCCTTCTTCTTACACTCCATTAGCCCAACAGAGAAATTATGTCCACCCACTCACTGAAAGTCTTTAAGGGTTGTCATAATCTAGCCTAAAGTTTTAAAAGTGTAGTATAGGAAAACAACCATCATTGAATTAATTCCATTCTGCACAATTATAGAATAAAACCCCAACTGTTTCTAATCAGCTGACCCTATTTTTTCCCCAATCAAAAACAAACTTTTACAACTTTTGAAGTAGACTCACACTCAAATTGCACACAAATGCACATATTTTATTTGTAATAAGACTGAAAATCAACAAGTCAGCATCACTCAACAGTAACTTCTTTTGGTTTATGAAACTATATAAAAATGTATTTGTGTTTACTACACAGAGTTGTACTTTTTTCTGAAAGAATTGTGAAAATGCTCAGACTACTAATATAAAATACTGACAAAACATAAAATAAAATGTAGTAATCACAAATAGTAATACTATTATATGAAGATTTCATATAAAATGAAACATACATTAAACAACAAAAATAAATCCGTTTCTTTTACAACTAAATTATTCATGGCATTACAAGGCTTTAAAGTCTAAATATCTCTCTTGATCCTACACTGATAAAAGGTTTAAAGTTTAAAAAACTGTAAAATCTCTCTCAATTATATTTTAGGACTAACGCATCAAAATAGATTCACATTCATGTACAGAATTGGAATGCCTCAAATACTGTAAGCCAAATGAAACCATGTGAATTGTCATGTTCCATGTTCTTACAAAGTTAAACAAGCCCCAATGTAATTTAATGTAATTATTTATTATTATAAGTATTTTTACCTTTCTTGCAGTTGGTTTCTCCACCATCGTACTGTCACTGTCAGAATTTTCAATTTGAACTGCTTTTGTGGACCCAAATTTTGGCATTTTATATCTGTTCAGCTAGCTGTATCTTGCATCAGTGTACTCATCGTGTGTCTGCAAAAAGGGAAATACACAGATAAGCAAGGTTCATAATGTCATGCTAAAGGCAGTGTTTTTTTTGTAGGGCGCACTACCATTCAGCTGAATCACAGCAGGAAGAAAAGGTGGCTTTGCTCACACCTGACCTCCAATACCATATTAAAGCTCTATATCTGGCTTGAAGAACAGGAAGTCTAATACAGAAATATAGCTATTACAGTAGACAATGTGAAAAGAGAAATATTAATTCAACTGCTCAGAGACAGCTCCTCCCTCTAACTCGCACTTTTCACTGATGGCTGTAAATATCCTTGGGCATTCAACAGTCTTTATTATAAACGAAAGACCAGAGGCAAATCTAGGGCAGGTAAGGGTAGTGCACTTGCACCACCCTCTGGCTGTATGGCACATGGGGTTCCTGCCAGAGCTCTGCAGGCTGAGTTCACAAACTAAGAAAATTTGGCTCTCTGATGGAGCTCAGTATGCCCAGTGAGCTCTCTGAGCTCACAGGCTGATCAATCCAGGCCCAGCTGGAGCTCAGCAGGCACAGTGAGTTCTCTGAGCTTACTGGGCAGTCTGAGCTCTGGTAGTAACCATGCTAATCAGCCCATGAGCTCACACAGCAGCCAGTGCAGCACATTCAGCCAAGTGGGCATGTGATCACACTGCTCTTCTCTCCCCTCTTGGATCCTCACATGACAAAGCCACATAACTAGGGAATTAATTATTGAACTCGTGGAGAGAGAGAAAGTAATTTTCATGGCTTGGCTGTGGCCTGAAGAGCCGATTTTGCAGTCATATTGTGGCAGCCCTGCCCCTTGGCACTGACTGGTAGAGAGGCCCTGCCTCTTAGCGCTGATTGATGGAGAGGCCCCAGGGGGTGGAGGTGGCAGGAAGGATGAAGGAATAGCCGCCATCTTGACTGCTGGCTGCCTTTTATGCAACCCTATCCCTCAGTGCTAACTGGCAAAGAGGCACAAGGGGACAGCCAACTTGACTGCTGCCCTTCATGCTGCCCCATCAGCTGGGGTCCCTGTTAGGCTATGAGGCTGGGCCACAGAGGCAGCAAGAACCACTGGCTCTCACTGGGGAGCCAGCATTTTATTTTTATTAAATTTTTTTTGGTTGATTTCCTGGGAAGAGTGTTATTTTTTGCAACTATCATGGAGACCACCATTTTTCGCAGTTTGTACGAACAGCTTACTGCTACATTAGGGGAGTACATCAAGGGCTCAGTGAGCAGCTGTTCACCAGGGCACCCTTGGGGAAAACCAGGAGTAATAGCTACAAACTCCGGGAAGACCATTTCAGATTCAACATTAGGAAAAACATCTTTCCAGACTGGGAATAGGCTCCCTCCAGAGGTGGTACAATCACCTACTCTGGAAATCTTCAAGAAGAGACTGGATGGTAACCTTGCTGGGGTCACTTGACCCCAACTCTCTTTCCTGCTTGGTGCAAGGGGCTGGACACAATGATCTTCCAAGGTCCCTTGCATCCTTATAATCTATGAATCACAAAACTGCGATTTAAGCAGGTCCCTACTTATAACTTGGGCAATTATAGCTTCTCCCATTTTATAGATAACAGCAGTTGAACTAAAACCAATTCTGCCAGAGTTGTGAACCAATTGAGTTCTCTAGTACGGCTAACCCAAACCTCACCTTCCCAACACACTGCCTTTTAGAATGAGCATGTCAGATTTGTGCTTTGTGATCCTGTCTGTAAATACTGCTAAAATCAACACACTACATTTTCTCTTAATCTGCTCCCAAAAGCATAAAGGATGAAGTTGCCCCAACCACCGCTCAGTTCTGTTCCTGTTATTTCTCACAGAACCTAGAAAGTCATCCAAGAAGCTTCATTTCTAATACTCTACTTCTATATAACAAGGAATAGTTATGCTCTGCAAATTCCTCCTCCCAGTTACAAAAAAGTCTCTTAAAACATTCAGAAGTATACCACTATATACAAATGTAACAGCACTTTGACATAAAATTCCATTTTCCCTATTGCCTTTACCATTTTTTAAATTTGAAGGAGCCAAGCTGGACATGCTCTTGATGAGTAAAGTTATTTAGAGAGCAACCAGTAGAAGGCACTCATAACTTTCTTTACAATAAGAAGATTTTGTAATACTCCTGATACAGTAATGTGTCTTTACTTGTTAAAGAAAGTTTTTTCATCCTAGACCTCCTCTTCACTGCAAAGTTACCTCAAGGGTTGCCCATAACCAGAGGCCCAACCTGCACACAAAAAAATCTTCAAGCACAGGAATCAGCTACCTTAGGCCTAGAGGCTCAGTCCAACCCATTAAGAGACTTTATATGGCCTGCCAAACTGACCAAAAAAAAATCTTCTTCCATTTGTAAGTTTTCTGTAAGAATGCACTATCTACTGGAAGAAAATCCAACTGCTGTATCCAGCCTACCTTAGGACAAAGCTATATTAAATTTGGCCCCATTGGTGAAAGGCTGCCAACCCCTGCTCAGACATATTGGTGCTTTAACTTAAATTGGTTGGTTTGGTCAAGGGGCACAGGTTAAGAGTTTAAGTTACCACAGCTCAGCCATCTCTAACCCAGAGGTGAGCAATTATTTTGGGTAGAAGACCACTTACAGAGTTTTGGTGAGCTGTTGTGAACCGGGTTAGCACCCACACCCCCCACTCAAAACAGCTCACCAAAACTCCCTAAGTGGTAGATTGTTAGACAGTTCCGAGCGCTGGACCAAGTGGGCGGACAGGGTCTCCCTGGAGACCAGATTGGGACCCCTACAGACAGGGCATCCTTGGCCAGGTGGGTGGAATAGGGCCACAGGCTGGAAGGGAGTTAAGTCCAACAGTGAGATGAGCAGGCAGAGCCAGGGCCTGGATCACAGTAGTTACAGCACACGGCCAGGGCAAAGCCACAGTCAGTTTCCTGCACAATGGATTGCAACCAACTTAACCGAGGAGGGGGACAAAGCATACACCCGTGGACCCAGCCCCTGCTGCCCCCACCCTAGCACACGTGCACACAGGTAGCTCCAGTGCAGTGGGGCTGTAGAGTGGCACAACCTGGCAGTGTGGGGCAGCCCTAACAGATTGTACCCTCCAGTGGTCCCATCCCATGTACCTGGTTAAACGTGGCCTGCCTACGCAGGTCCCAGGCCCATCTCCACTATCAGGAGAGAGCCACTTCTGGCAGTGGGTGTGGAGTGGACAGGCTGGAGTGCTCAGGCAGCAAGGCTGGGTCCAGCATCAGTGGTGACACAGCAGTGGCAGCAACAGAAGGAGCCACTGCCACCAGGGCTGCTGGGAAGCAGAGTCTGGCTGCCGTGCTGCCCCAGCCCTGCTGTGCACCCAAGGGCAGCAGGACCAGCTGCCCATGCCACAGCCCAGACTGCCACCCCAGAACTGGGCCAAGCGGGGCCAAGAAACCCCACACTGCCTGCCCCATTACTGCCTGCCTTATCACCTCTCCCCCCTCACCTTTTGCAGTAGTAAGAGGGACAGATATAAGAAGATCCTCCAATAACCAGATTCCATACATGGAAAATTACATTAAAAAATGATATACTTTCCATGTACAGAATCTAATTATTGGGAAGTCACCTTAAATTCAAGGTCATCTTGTATTTGGAGTAAATGCAGTAATAAGTTAGACAAGTAGCGATATGGGAAGGTTAGGTAGGGATGATCCTGCCTGTGGCAGGAGACTGGACTAGATGACCTCCAGAAGTCTCTTTTCTACGATTGTATAATTTTTCCCTCTGCATCTTTTTCAAGGCTTATAAATGGGCCAGTCCTAACCCAAGTGGTCTCCAAACTTTTTTGATCGTGCACCCCATCAGTAAAAAATTTTTGATCACGCACCCCCAATATATGTATATTTATATAAATATAAATAGAAGTTCTAATATTTTCTTCCTGTACCCCAATGGATCATCTTGTGCACCCCCTGGGGTGCGCGCAGCCCACTTTGGAGACCACTGGTCTAGCAGATCTATTACAAGTTGAGTTACCTCACTGTTCTACCATGAGGTCTGTGGATCAGATATGCATTAAAACCTGTAAATCCATCATTCCTTGGGCCATACCAGCAGGGGCTGACACAAGGCCATGTGCTGCATCCTCCACTGTGCTGTACCACATGTACAGGCAGCCACTGTACTGCACAGGCAGGTGGCACAGCCCACTATACTGCACACACAGATACCCTCCCACCCTCAGCTGCCTCACTGTACAGTGCAACAGGCTCCCACAGCACCATTTGCTGCTTCTGGGGTGGAAGCAGGAAGCAAAAGGTTGGGGAGGGGGAAACTTTGTGATCCGGGCTGCAGCAATAGCCTGAGCAACACGGGAAGTGGCAAGCAGGTAGAAGCTGGGGGACTGCACATTAATTCCTTGCACTGCAACCTGCCAGTTAGAAAACAAAAGAAGCCTTTGATACCATTTTCACACATCCTTCTCTTTCAGCAACCATTTGGAAACATTTAGGACACATGCTCCTGGAGAGGGAAGGGGAGTGCTTTAATTAGGAGTAGCTCCAAGAGCAAAGTGCCCACAGCATCTCAGGCATCTCCACATTTAAAAATGGTGACAGGGACACTTTATTTAAGGCTCACTGAATGAGCTTTAGACAAAGTGCTTCCTCTGCCATTTTTAAGCGCAGGGACCCTGATATACGAGATGCAGGAGGCTGCCGGAGCATGGTAATTTCCATGCTCCAGCAGACTCGATAAACTGAGTCTGCTCAGACACGCTGTAATTACAGCACGTGGGAGCAGCCTCGCTGCTCGTGTATAGGTGCCCTTAATGTTGTCAACTTTATCTCTGTCTGCAGTTGGTTGTGTTTGTTCACTGATGAGGCATGGCCCCATATGCTACCCACAGTGATCTGTATCACTAAGGGTACTGGGAAAGCTGCAATCTTGCCTGGGCCCAATTTTGCAGATATACAAGGGGTCCTTGTACCTGTCCAGATATACCTGCCTTTTATATTAGGAGGACCCCAATTTGGTATCTTAACTAGAGTGAAATGGGAAAAGTGGGCAAGGTT